TCTCCTTCATTAATACTTTCATACCAATACTGATTCAATAAAATCTTTTAGGATAAATTTAATGTTTAAATAAATCATCGTTAGGTTACCTATGATCATCAATGATATAATTTATTTACACATCAAAGATACACTGTTATAAATAATATTTTCTAAACTATTAAAGTCAAGAACCTACACTAAATTGTCGGCAAAAAAAAAATCTACACTAAATTATTTATTTAAATAAAAAATGTGATGTTCTTTTGACCCTTTTTTTTGTCATTGTGTGCATTGTCGGCAATCAGTCATTATTTTACATTTTTTATATCTTCCTCCTGAGGTTTAAAAATTTTATTTATTTAACATTTCAATTTTAAAATTAGGACTTTAATTTTTTATGCGTTTTTGTGGACAAAAATAATGAAATTACGCAGAATAGTGTTCTAATAGTCCTTAACACTTCATCGGTAACGATCTAAATATGGCAATACTCTAATAAAAGATTAAGTATTATTGACCAAGAAATTTAAAAATAAATTTTATTTAACTCTTGATTAGTATATGCTTTAATTTTATAAAGTCCCTTGTCCCAAAAATTTATAAAGTCAGAGTGTATTTTGCAGGAGGATAGTACTCCCAAGATTTGCCCAAAGATCTTTTTAAAAAAATATATAATAAGTTTTGATCCAGCTAAAGGGCAATATCCAACAAGTTTTAATTTACTCATGCAAGCCGAAGTTATGGCGCATTTAAGAAATAAAATCAGCGCTAGACTGTTCAACTTATACCATAAAAGTTAAATTGATCAAAAAGACTTTCACATATTATTTATTACTTATTTATTCGGATATGTTCATTCTAAATAGTTATGTAGAAATAACCAAATTTCTACAACCACGTTATCTTCGTGTTCACATTGACGAGGATAGGAAGAATAATATATTTGGCAATGTTAGATTAGATGTTTTTGTTTTAATAACAAGAGTATGTAGCATTTTATTATAGTCCCTAAAAGGGGGGGAAAGAAAACCATCAACAACCACTTTAAATAATAGTTTAAATAACCAATTATAAATTTAAGAGATAAAATGAATTAATATTTTATATTTAATTAAAATCATAACTAATATATTTAAGATTGGAGAGAGTAATAATTAAGCTATGAGATAATCATATTGTTCCCGACTAGTAATAGTTAATAGTTGGTCAATGTATTAACATGGTTAGCTGGATCTTCTTATTTTATAATCTATCTGTATAAAAGCACATGTCATGGGCATGACACATGGAAATATTATATTATGTTTACACATCATCCTTGTAGTGTCATTGTCGATGGAGTCTCATGATATAGTCCACGAAATTATATATAACTCTCCTGAAAATTTATGTTATGTGTAGACAATTTTTTAAAGCAGTAAAAATTTATATTTATACAGATAACTCTCTTATGTATAGTTTTATTTATTACTTGTTTGCTTAAATCTTAACATTTAGGGGGCTTATATGCATATAGTTATGTCAAAACTTTAGGGGTAAGATACACACAAAAATATAATTTAAGAAGTATATATTTCATGATTGTGGTTTATCCATATTTTGAAAGTTCTTCGGGGGAAAAAAAAAAAGTTGAGGTGAATTCGTCATTAGTTTTAGGGAGAATTGCAATTAGGTCCCACTCAAGGGAATCAAATACAAAAATGTCCCTTAAAATCATGAAATTATTCTGAAGTCTCAAGGGACCTTTTTGCAATAAATTTTATTTGTTTAATTACCAAATTACCCTTCTTCTTTTTTTAAAAAATTTGTAGTGACAACTAAAATAGCAATGATTGACAACTCAGGGTGCAAGGATTGATAACTATCGCGGTTGGTTTGACAACACATTTTCTCAGCATATCATACCCTAAGTTGTCAAACCAGCTGCGATAGTTGTCAATTCTTACACCCTAAGTTGTCAACCACTACTCTTTCAGTTGTCAGTGCAAACTTAAAAAAAAAAAAAAAGAAGGGTAATTTGGTAATTAAACAAATAAAATTTATCGCAAAATTTTTTTTTTAGACTTTAAAATAATTTCATGATTTTAAGGGACTTTTTGTATTTAATTCCCTTATGTAGGACTTAATTGCAATTTCCCTAAGTTTTAAAGTTGACTTTGTACATATAATTTAAACTTCATGGGAGTTTTGGTATAATTTACGCTTTATTTAATTAAATAATGGCATATTTTAAATTTTGTATAATGAAATAAATCATCTTAGGCAACATATTGTCATCAAAGATATAAATTACTTACATCACAAATATGGATCAATATCATGAATAATCATATGCTATATTAACTAAAGTCAAGGATCTATAACAGATCCATTTTGTTTATCCATTTCAGAGCATCCAGCCTCTCTTTCTCCCCCCTCTCGAGCCTCAACAATTTTTTTAAAAATTTAAATTGATTATTGCAATAATACTTCTTTATTTAGACAAAAAATGCGGTGATCATTTACTGTCAATTATTAAAGGGGAAAATTGGGGAAAAAATCCCCGCTTTGAAAATTCTATTGGTGAAAAGACTTGAACATTTTTTTACACAAAAAGTATCACTCTATTCTATAAATTTTGTATGCATAAAATATTGATATTCCAATTTAAATACTCCTTATTGATAAAATTTTTCATGAGAAAATTTTCTCCGATTCTCTCATTTTTTTGTCATGCTTAGGTAAAGTCTTTGGTTTAAATCTGGCACAGATATTCTCCTTTTTCTGTCTTTCTCCTTTTCTTCTTTGAAGTTTCATCTCTATATTTAGCTTTAAAAATGGATGGTCGAAATTTAAGATGACATAGAATTATTATTATTATAAAATAAACTTAAATTGTTAAAATTTGACATGCGCAGTTCATGATTATAATATAAAAATTTCAAATTATAAAATATCAATAACAATAATTTTATGAAATACTAAATCTAAAACCATCTATGCTTTGATTCAAGGGTGTATACGGGTTTCTGAGGATTAAAAGGATTGGAGAAAAAGGAAAGGATTTAGACCAGAAATGTTGAATGCAGATGGGTACTTGAGATTGAAATAATAATGGAAGAGTTACATTTCTGGCCAATATGTATATATAATGATTATGAAGTGACTCTCATATTGACTATTACTAGTCAATATAAATAAGTCATATTAATACACAAGTTCGCCAAGTCTTTTTAATTTATAAAAACATCCTGGACAAGTGGACAACTACTTTAATACTCTTCTCTCTCTCCTCAATTTATTTTTAAGTGCATGTAAAATTACCTGCTCCATTTTCAAGTCATATTAAAGTAATATGAGTCTCTTTTACTTGGTGGGTAGTTACAAGCAGCTATCAATCCATTATATTTTGCGATTTCCCCCCATTTGGTCTACTTCCAAGATTTGGGTACTTAAAAGAGGATATATGGTCTACTTGTCTTCTCATCCTTCACACCAATTATATTTTAGGATTTTCCCCCAATTTCTCCTAAAAATTAAATATATTATTTAAATTTTAATTATTCTTAAATAACTATTTTTATTTTATAATTTCAATTTTAATTATTCTCTAACAATTATCACATTATAAACATATGTAAATATGTATTATTCAATAAAAATAGTATCATTTTCAGTCATTTTACATCTAAACTTATTTTTTTTGTTAATAATCAAAACAAGTTTCAACTTGTTAAGTGGACTTTTTTATAAATGTCAATCACATTATACTCACTTTTATTTTAACTCATATTTACAAAAATCTGATGAAGGAAAGTTACTTTAAACACGCACTTACTCGGCCTTTTTATCAAATGAAATTGACCCAAAAGCAAGTCTTCCACTTTTGCTCATCCTTCTTAGGCGTAATTTGCTGATTGGTTGTTGAAATTGAAGTTTCATTGAATTGTCTTTTGGAATGTCACCGTCAGGTAGAAAAAAAGATTAAGGAGGATGTAGGGTCTACTTGTCTATATAATGCCCCTGATTATCTCTGTTCTCCCCACTCATCCCTGCTTCTTTAAGATTTGGTTTGGGCGAAGTTGCAACCTCATTCTCCTATTTCTTTAATTTAGTAAGCCTCTGCTTCTTTGACATCGTTAACTTCTTATTGGTTGTTGTTGGTTAATTTTTCTCCTCCTTCTCCTCCTCATTCGTCCAGTCTTTCTTCTTCAAGTTTTCCTTCTTTTGGGCTTCATGGTTATATTTTCTTTTTATGGGGTTCTTGTTTGGTCTGGTCTTCCATAACTATGACCTATAGTTCTCATTGACATCATTTAAATGTAATTTGGCAAGGCTTAAATTCAGTAGTCATTAAAAATAGTTTAGATTATTGACCAGTACAACGAGATTAAAATTATACCCGAACTTACATATCTATTGTTGCTTTAGTTACGGGATTGACTACTTTGATGAAAGTAAAGTAGAGGTGTGCACAAGGAAAAGGATTAAGATCAGCAGTTTTCTATCTGCCTTTCTTCTTCGTTTGCTCTGTCACGTTCTTGAATGCTCGATTCCCTACAGTGTTACTGTATTAGTGTTGTTTATTCACTGGAGAATTGACTGAATTTTAACTTGAACTTCACACACTTCAACTGATAAGTTCAAGAAAATAATAGTCTACAAAACAATAAATTATAAATATGTAACTTATATTGAGTACTCCTCCGGTCCTTAATATAAGACCCATTTAACTAATTTGATTAGATTAAGGAAGTTAGGTAAGTTAGTTGATTATAAGAAATGTGACACATTTTTCCTAAAATACCATAATCATCTTTCTTAATACCCCCTCTCCCTCTTCTACTTGATTATGGTTGAGGGAGTATCTATAAGGATAATTTAGAGAAAATTGATAAATATGAGAAATGGGTCTTATATTTAGGACCAAAATCAACTCAAAAATTGGGTCCTATATTAAGGACCGGAGGAGTATTATATTTTGACCTTTGCAGCATTTATGTATTTATTTATTCTGTTTTTCTGAAGGTCTTTTCTAAATGTGATTGATTTTCTCTCTTCAAGATCGGGAATTACTTGATAGCTGATCAAACCTTGCCGTATATATATAACAACCCCTTCAATTAACTTGTTCATTGAAGTCAATCGTGCTCAAGATAATGAGTTCGTTCGAGAAACTGCACAGTGATGCCATGGGAGGAAAGTGGTCAGAAGCATTTGAAAGATGCAAGCAAGACAGGGCGCTTTGGACAGCCAAGATAACAGGGATGGGAGACACAGTATTACACATGGCTGTGTCTAGTGGGGAAGAGAAGGTGGCGGCAAACATGGTTAAATTCTTAGTTGAACAAGATGATGAGGAAACGTGGAACATGAACACCGTTCTTGGTGCTAAAAATGATAGAAAAAACACTCCTTTACACTTAGCAGCAATAGAGGGGTATATTAGAATGTGCAGGAAGATCGGTGAAGCGGATCCCTCTTTAATTGCTCGCCGTAACATCGCCGGCGAGACACCCCTTTTCCTAGCGGCTCTCAATGGCCACAAAAAAGCTTTTCTTTGGCTTCATTATCTGTATGTGGGAAGCCATGGTGTTTCTTCAACTGGCTTTGCTCACTGTATAAGGGACAACGAAGATACCATTCTTCATTGTGCAGTTGCAGAAGGGCATGCTGGTAAATCTAAATTGATATTCATTCTTTCATATATTGTTGATATACTTAGGATGAAGTACTACTAGTGCAGATGTGGCAATCGAAATAGTTCACCTTTATAAAGATTATTTGAACGAGATGATGCAGCGCAATAAAAAAGGGTTGTCTCCACTTCATCTCCTAGCATCGAAACGTAGGGCTTTCAAAAGTACTAGCCTCCGTGAACTACCAATCCTTGCTGGTCCAATTTATCGTAAGTTCTATATATGTCTGTGAAGGGAATGCAATGCGTACATGTGTGTGTCTGTAATTTCGAGCTTCAAAGGACATTCTTTTAATAATTATTATTATATATATACACATGCATATGGCTTGTTTGTTTGGAACTTTGTAGGGTTGTGGAAAGTTAATGAGAAGAATCAGGCCACGACGCTTGAAGAATTGCAAGCCATGAAAGACAAAAGTAAGTACGCTTCACATGTTACTCCGGAGCTGTTTTCTCTTGTCCATAACAAATTTGCATTTATTTTAATTCGAATTAGCTTAAAGACCTGGCCTTGAACAATTAGAAACTATGATACTAGAAAGAGATGAAACATGGAAAAAAAATTAATTATTTAATCCCTGAAATTTTAATTCGAAGATAACTCAGTCCTCAAATTTTAGTTTGATGCATCTCGTCAGTGCTAACAAATTTTCTGACTAATTAATATTTAATTTGCAGAAAATTATAAAGGAAAAAGCATTTTGGTCAGATTTAGGAGGTACATCGTATTTACCCTCGTGGGGGTCCCCGCGGCATTCCTGCAGTTAACATGCTCTGACGCAGGTAGGGCATATGCAAGAGCGCACATTTAATTAAAAAATCATGCGCATATACATACACAGGAACGCTGATAAAATTTGTATTTTGATTGATTATTAATTCAAAATTACATGCATCATGCTCATCACTACACTAAAATATACACCATTTAGATATAATTTTAATTGTTTACATTTAAAATATTTTTTTAAATAGAAAATTATTTTTTAAAAATTTACAATTGAGTGATTATATTTATTTTGGATTATATACCTAGATTATGTATCTATTTAGAATTAAAATTCTGAATTGATAATTTTTAAAGAATAAAATTATTTTTAAAAAACTGATTATTAAAATATTGTCTTTATTTTAAATTCTATATTAATTCATTAAAACAAATATTTTTAGAAAATAAAAATAAATTTGGATCATTCAAATTAGATCCAAATGGTATGGATTTGTTGCATATATCTGTCCCCATACTCAAATTTTGTGACGCATGTGTGCGCATGTTAAATTATTGATGATGATGATGCCCTCATCTATTACGATTCTGAACCTACCAATGTACATTTTTATTTAATATTTGGGTCAAGGTACAAATATTAATAACTAGCTCCGGTCAAAAAAAAATATATATTAATAACTAGCTAAAGTACAAATAAACACACATGGTTCGGTCAAAAAAAAAAAAAACACACAGATGGCACCCATTTCTCTCAACATTATTTTAATTTTTTTTTGAAATACGCGCTGCTTGAATTCCCATCACTCTCTCACCTGCATTTCTTCTCTGAAAAGTAAAAACTCCCCCCCTTCTCTCTCCGTCACTCCACAGTCTACACTCCTCCCCACCTCATGCCACGCTCTCTTTTCCTCTTTCCTTCTATTTTTCTTCCTCCTTTTATGTTTTCTCAAATAAATTTTACGTTGATTTTTTCATTCATAATATTTTATTTACCTTTTCAGTTTAATTTAAAATATTAGAATTAAAAGCTATATATATTTAATTCTATTTTTTAATTTATAATATTTGCTATCGATTTTCTTCATAATATCTATATTGATTTAAATATGGAAATTATATATGAGATATTATCACACCAAAAAATAAGGATATGCGTGATGGAAGAAATAAATTGGAGAGACATTATGAAAAAACCAATAGCATCTATTTATATTTAATTCAAATTTTTTTCAGTTCATAACATATGTTCTTTTTTTTTTTTTCATTCGTAAAATCAACGGAAATTTATTTGAGGAAACATACGAGAAGGAAGAAAAATATGATAGGTTGGGGAGGAGAAGCGAGGAGAGTGAGTGGCGTGAGGTGAGGGAAGAGAGATGTGTGGAGTGACGGAGAGATTGGGGGGAGAGTTTTAAGAGAAGTGATGCAGGTGAGAGAGTATCAAGGATTCAAGCATTATGCATTTCAAAAAATATATTAAAATAATGGTGAGAGAAATGAGTGCCATGTAGATTGATATATAGGATAAAAACATTTCAGCTGTCATTATCTCATTGGTCAGAGCATGGATGAAGTAGCATTTTGAGTGTAAGAATTTCTCCAGGAATAGAGGGTCTCACCTAATATAGGTAAGACCCACCCAAAATTTTTTTTTTATTTTTTCACATATTCTATTTTAATTATATACCTTTAAATAATATTATTTATTATTTTAATTATAAGACTTTGTTTGTCAAATATAAATAAGGTCTAATAATAATAATTAGAACTAAAGGTAGTAAATTTTTTCAAACATGTTGTCCCTACTAACCTATGGGTCTTCATGAATAGTCTTAGTTAGATGGTGCATGCCGTTTTGTATACCCATAATGAAGAAGAGGCACACATGGTGGCATCAAATAATGACCGAACTCCTTCACCATGCTTCCAAAGAAGATATGTCACAAATAATATCAAGAACTGTTTCGGAGCAGCTTTCAGTTTCCCTGCAGACAAAAGAAGATAACGGTAAAAGGATTTTTGAAAATTCTAAGATGTTAAGTAATAAAGCATTGTTATCATTATACTTTTCATATATACCACTTGACGTTTCAGGAATCACAAACCATTTTTCACGCGCAATGATAAAATATATTGGGTATATTTTTATGCCAAATAAAATATCCTGCAATTATAAACTAATTTTGTGATTTTGGACTGTGAATGGCATTATTGGTGGATAGAGCCGGAGTCAATGCCAACACCAGCGTCTGGTACAATAACAATTGACACACCCCTAATGATTGCTACGAAGAATGGGATGACAGAAATGGTGAAGGCAATTTTCGAATTGTTTCCATCAACGATTAAAGATGTGAATGCCGAAGGAAAGAACATCTTTCTATTGGCCATAGAATATAGGCAAACAGATGTATACTGTTTTTTGTGTAAATGGAAATGGCTAAAGGAAAGTCTGTTCAGGCAAGTAGATAAGGAGGGAAACAATGCATGGCACTTGGCGGTGAGTCTCGAATTTGACCCTAATCGAGACATTGGGGAAGCATTCAACATGCAAAGCGAACAGCTAAGCTGGCTTCGTGTGGGTATCTAATGGATAAATTTAAAGCATATCACTATTTCAAATATTTGTTTGATATTAAAATATATAGACATGGTAAGTTGATGTTTGTATATATGGTGATGCAGTTAGTGAGGAGGTCACTCCCGTATGATTTGTCTACAAGACACAATAGAAAAATGGAGACCCCGACAGACATCTTAGAAAAGAGTGACAAGGAATTTATGAAAATCCAGCAAGAGTGGGTGGCTAAAACCTCACAAGCATGTTCTGTGGTGTCGACCCTTGTTGTATCAGCAGCCTTCGCCACACGTACCAATGTGCCAGGCGCTTATGATGAGAAGGGCTATGCAATCCTTAGAAACGAGCCACAAGCATTCAGAATTTTTCAAGATTCTTCATTGGTGGCCCTCTTCTGCTCTCTTATTTCCACCATCTGCTTCTTGTCTATAGTTGCTTCTCCTTCTCATCGATATTTTAATGCTCGTACGTTCGTTCCTTCCCGATTTTACTGTGCTTTGTACTCCATGTTCGCCTCCATTGTTTGTTTGTGGATCTCTTTCTGTGCCGGTGATTTCTTCTTGCTCCATGACAACACTCAAAAATTGCACAAGGCTCTTCCAACTTATATTTTGTTGTCATCGGGCTTCATCCTTATTGTTGGCTTACAGCTCCACAGATTCCTTGATCACAAATTGTCTCGATTTTTTGGAACCACCCCTCCCCCTAGAATCGTGCCCATTTCTCCCATTCAGTACCGAAGAACCAACAAAGGAAACGGACCAGATCTGAACCACCGAAATTAGGCCCATCTCTTGTATTATTCAAAGAACCTCTACCTTCATCACTTCCATTGTAAAAGCTTTTGCGTGATTTGATGTTTTTATTTCTTTTCTATTTCTGACAACATGTGCAGCAGGCATACTCTCGCTCCATCACATACTGTAGTTTGAGTTGTGTATTTTTTTCAACCTCACTTATATTGCTTGCTCATTCGTGGCTTTTGGCTGGGGTTCTCATAATGATCATCTTGTCTTGTTCAAATGTATGACTTACCCCTAGTGAGTAATGTAATTGATTGGATCGATTAATTAAATAATTGGGGTAATTATCAGTTGTAAATGTCAAAATGTTTAAGCGCGAGCGGATTTAAGTTGATGTGGAAAGTTTCACATTGAATAACACTGGGCTTAATAAATAACATATATGATCCACCAAGAAAAAGGAAGAAAATAAAGTTGCTTGAAACTAATTGTTCAAACAAGAGCTTAACAATTAGTAAAGGGCGTCCAATTTGCAAAGTAATTTACCTGTATCCTATTAATATATATATATATATAATTCATTATAAACTGTTATAAGTGAGGACACAAGAATGCCGGCGAAGTTATGTTCCATATTTTTCCTTTATAAAGGAATTATATAGCTTTAAAATAAATCCAAGAGCATCTCATTAGGATAAGTGTGTCCCAAGAAATGAATTTTCAAAGTCAAAGTAAACGATCTGAATAAAATTGGAAAGGGAAACAGAGCAGTCTAGCTGAAAAATTAAATTATATTAGATGGCGCATATGAAGCCCAGTTTCATATTTTTCCTATAGAGATGACTCCTTGAGTTTGAAAAGGAGACAAGAATGAGCTCAATATACTATATTTTTAATTAAGTATATGTTATGAATTTTAAAATTTAGCCCAAGATTCCGCAAAACACCGAGAAATACGTGATTGGGCTTCAATTTTTTGATGCCTTTCTTATCTCCAAGTAGCTTATAACAGAAAGCAAGATGTTGCATTATTGGTATCCTGTTACATAATTTTTTCTTGTAGAAGACATTTGAATTTTTCAGCAAGTCATAGATCACATTAATCGGAGCTCTATAAACAAGAGAAATAAATTTTCCTAGTTAGTGTGTATTGAATCTATTTTTAATACATATAACTGATGAGGCAGTTTTTAAGGTTGAATTTATCCAGACTAGGTTATAAATTTTTTATTTACCCAAAATAATGAAGAATACCAAGCTGAAGTGAATGTGAAATTGAGCTTCAACTTCCAGGTTTTCTTAGTTGCCGATTAAGGATTCCTTAAATTAAAATCTCTAGATTGATTTCGTAATTGCACATACAAAACTATATAGGTGCCAAATTAATGTCCAATTTTTAACTTTTACCTAAATACATCACGTGTTTGTAGATAAACTAATAATAGACCATTGACCATTCAGTAAAGAAGGAAGGACGGCCCAAAGAACCAAGGAAGCACTAACATTAAAATAATTATTTTAAAATGGAACATTTTTTTTCCTTTTAAAACGCCATTTATCAACTTCTTAGAATTTGGAAAGTAGCCAAATACACCTTCCAAGAAGGGCAAAAATCGTCGTGCTATTATTAACAAATCCAGCACACGACATAAGAAGAGTTAGAAAGTCAACAAATACTTTTTTTGGCTGAAAGTCAACGGTATTTTTTTAAAAATGCAATGCTCATGTGTAACTTATTTAAAAAAATAAATCTATTCTAACTAAAATGAAATGTGTGAATTATATTAAAAAAATTATGAGTCATGTTTATATTAATATTTTGAGGTTGTTGCTTTGTTCTTGTCCGATTTTCATAAATTATAAATATAAACTTGAAGAGTTTAAATTTATTTGTCTTTTTTTTCACAAATATTGGTTAAAATTATATTAACTTGAATATAGGCTAGATTAAAAATATACTTGACCTATCATTCAAATTCCATTTCTACTCACCGTTGGGTTACGACTTAATTACAACGGCAGGGAATTGAAGTAGACGTGTACAAAAGGCAAATAATTAAGAATGTGCTTGGATAAATGGATTTAAATTTAAAATTTAAAATCTCATGTATTTAAAATGTTTTATTTAGTACTACCTTCAGTTCTTAATACAAGATCTCATTTGACTTTTTATTTTAGTCCTAAATATAAGACTCCCAATCTACTTTGTCTCTCATGTTCATCTATTTTTTTTCCAAAGTAGTCATTGTGATAATAGTAGTTGTAGCCAATACACTTGATTAGCAAGGATATTTTAGAAAAAATAATACCTATTTATTACAAATAACTAACTTAACTAATTTTCTTAATCTATTTAAATTAGCCAACCAGTTCTTATATTAAAGACCGAAGGTAGTATATATTTGAATAACAACACATTAATTTAGTTTCAATTTGAGGATATTTTAATGTACTTCTTAAAATTTGATATGTTTGGTTGGTATTTCTGGCAGGGCACTTTAGTCTTGCATGATGGATTATTACATTGAGTTAATATTCTTTTATCTTGATTTTGGATGTTAAAAGGATTTTATTGAATTGACGTAAATATGTTGTTTTGTTTTGTTTTTACATTGGAAATATACTTTGCATAAAAACGCATCCTAATATGTTTAATTTGGTAATATATGTACAAAAATTATACCATTATATTACCTCATAATCCATGGGACCAAGTGAATCTAAAAAGATTTTAATGAGTTCATTTTTTGGGGGAAAAAAACAAACGGAGTTATAAAATTTTAATAAAAATAAAAAATTAATTAAAAATCCTTACTTTTTTAATTAAATTAAAATCTTCTCTCGTTTCCATCAAATTCCCTTATTAACCATTAGACTTACAGCTCTCACTCGTCACCTTGTTAATCTCTAGAATTTTATGTCATTTTAGCACAATTTTCTTAAGCTTTAGATACTTGTTGATGCATTTGTGCATATATTGATTTGTTAACGTCTAGAATTTCATGTCATTTTAGCATATTTTCTTTAAGTTTTAGATACTTTTTGATGCATTTATGCATATATTGAATACTCAAAGATAGAAAAATGTACATGATGCTTTTTGTCGCACACTGACGCTAGTACTCAATTGTGCATATTTTTTGCTTTTGTCCTTGCTATTTATGAGCTTATAAATTCTGTCATTTTTGCAAGATATATTTTAACCTAAGAATTAAATGCTCTTTAGAAACACATTATAGGAATCAAAGAAGAGTAAATCTTGGTCTTGCTTGCCATATATTTGGTCCATACAATGAAAACTTGATATTAATTCCGTAATAACAGATCAAAAAGCACTGAACCTGTTGTGGCGCATTATTAGCAAACCAGCATTATATTTATGTCTATTTTAATTATTAAGTAGCCGAAGTTCAAAAAAGTAAGTACCTGCAAAATTAAAAATATATAATAATTATTCCCCACTAGTAATTCTTAAAATTCGTCAATATATACTAATATGGTAGTTGGATCTTGGGGAAATAACAAAAAAAAAATACCTGTTCAATTTAAAAACAACAAATAAGTCATATTGACAACTCTTGTAATAATTTTGACAAGTTAAAATCTATCAAAATAATCTATTTATCATTTTGAAATTCAATAGGTATTTTTTGGTCATTTTTTCTTGGACGCGATTGGATCTTCTTATTTTATAATCTATGATCTATCCATATGAAAGCACGTCATGGGCATGACGTATAGGAATATTATGATCCTAGTAGTGTTATTGTCGATGGAGTCACATACTCAAATGGTATCTAACAATTTTAATATTTATTCTCTGACTTCAAATTGGTATTATACTAATAGATACTTTAGTCAAAATCCCACCTATAGTATAGACTATAGATTATAGTTTGAAATTAGTATTATTTGCATTCAACGAATATTCGTTTTTTTCTGTATAATTTGATCTCATATAGGCGGCCATTAATTTAAATTGTATAGCCATTAAATGGTAATTAATTTCAATTGATTTTTTTTGCCGATTTCGATTGATTTAGCTGTATAATAACACATTTTAGATTTTGCATGAAACAAGTCATCATCAGACGTCAGGTGACCTAGGATCATCAATGATAAATTATTTGCAAGTGAAAAATATCGAAATGGATCGATATCATTGATATCGATAAGAGATAATTTCCCTTAACATAATACACCAGCACCAGTTGTATGTATAATAAAAAGACCATTGGTCATTTAATATAGAAACAGGGTTGAAAATTAAAAATAAAGTTTTATAATAACTTTTAAAATGAAAAATCATTTCCGATCCTATATTTGTTCAATTAAAATAAACATAAATAACAATAATAGCTGGATTCCAAGAGAAAGGGTTGACCAAAGTTTTTAAAACTATTGTTCAATTTTTTTAGTTTTCGAAGAAGTACACAAACCGCAACTTCCAAGAAGGACATGGTCATGTGATTGTTTTGCGTTTTGCGCTGTGCTTGCTATATTTATAGCATTAAATATAATTTAAAATTAATGCAGCTCATTGCAAGGATGATCTACGTCTACCTATTTGTTTTCTATATAATGCTTCTTTGTTTGTTTTTTTTTTCCTCCGACTTGATCTTTCTTCTCATCTCTAGTTCTTTAAGATTTGGCTGGTGAAGCCACAATCTCATCCTCCTATTTAATTTCCTGGTAAGACTCTGGTTCTTTGTGTCATTATATATTTTTTTATTGGCTAGATCTATCCCTCCCTTTTCATCTACGGATTCTTCTTCTTTGGATTGATGGTTTTTTTCTTCACGTTATTTACTATCTTCTTTTGGGTGTCATGGTTGTACTCTATATATCCGACTTTCATATAACTAGCTATATGACCTTTCTCTCTCTCTCTCTCTATATATATATATATATATATATTTCACATTTTACACCGTTTCATTATAGTTGATGACTTCGTTTACAATAAAGAAAATCGAGTTGACTTCAACAGTTCACCAATATTTATGGATATTGGAAAAATGAAAATCAGTTATCTCTGCATA